TTCATCAAACTAATTACTTTTCCCCCCCAACCCCCGCCCCCTGGAACTGCCATTGAACTAAGTCTTCCTGTCTTGTCTAGGCACAGTTGATTTATTGAAATCCTATGCAGTATAGGACTTGGTATACGTGGAATAACGGGAAGAATGTGGAATCAGGAGCAAGAGAGACCAGCACTAGGTTCTGGCCCCGCACTTGACGGTCAATTCAGGGCTCAACATTGTCAGCCCAATTCTCTTCAAATGCAAAATATCACATCCTTACAGCGTTGTGGTGGGAAGAAATGAGAGCACACTTGAGCCTCTGGTAGAACACCGAGTTCGGTGCCGCCTACACTTCCTTAGTTGCCTTCCCCTACCCTGAGCCTCATGTAATTTCCATTTGGGTTTCTCTTCCCTGCCAGCACACTTTGGATCCCAGTTCACCCATGCCGCCGAAGGGCTATTCCTCCAGCTGTCCCAGATTAATGGCCCCTCACATTCCTAATGGATGGTGGATGGTTACTAATTGTCATCCAACTCATTGAGAAAAATATTGAACACAATGCACCGTTCTCCATCCTCCTAATTAACCTTTCATTCGGAGCTCAGGTGAGCTATTCATCCTGCCGGGAGCTCCTCCACCCCCCATTGCTACCTGAGGTGCCTGCGTGTGTTCCCTCCCTCTCCACTTACCACACTTCCTTGTGATCACCAGCTGGAGTGTCCTTAATGCGGATCGGCTGTCAGCGCCCTGAGGTTAGAGAGTGGGTCACACATTAATCCTTCTGTCTCAGGCACTCGGCACAGCACCTGCCTAGTTCACAGCAGACATTTAGAAAATATTAGTACATGAATTTAATGTTTCATTGCTAGAAGCTTGAACTAGAAGCTAAAGAAAGTCAGACTCTCTGGTTGATGGAGTCCTGTATTGGTGTTTTGCAAAAGCTGCCCAGGGTTTTCTAATGTACAGCCAAGGTTGGAAACCACTGCTCCAGAGAATCTACGTTTTACTCCCGGAGAACTGCTCACATACCCTGGCATACCATTCAGGCCCGGCATTAAAGTGCCCTTATTGAATTCTGCTGGGGCTTTATGCCTAGTTTGAGTGACCTTACGATATGTCACTGCAGTTATGGTGGGGATGTTGTTGCCAATGGACCCCTATAGGAAGAGGCACAGGAGAGATTCCTGTTGGGCATCGGTACCAAGAAAAGCTATGATTCTCCTGAACATCCAGTTCTTTTTTATCTTGTGGATGCTGGAAATCATTTAATTAGCACTCTTTCCAAGCTGATAGAAACTGCTGGAAAGCTCATGGCCAAAGTCATGGTCCACCTTTATCACCTGTACAGAATTATATAGTATATGTATCGCATGCTGACTTGGTTCCTCTTTATTTTCTGTCCTTTTACTCTCCTTTACTCATCCCTCCCTTTTTTAGTTGAGATATTATCCCAATACCATAAAATTCACTCTTTTAAAGTGTATGATTCAGAGGCGCCTGGCTGGCTCAGTTATAAGAGCATGTGACTCTTGATCTTGGGGTTGTGAGTTCGAGCCCCACGTTGGATGTAGAAGATTAGTTAAATAAATTAATTAAAAAAAACAGAGTGTTGGGACACCTGGGTGGCTCAGTCGTTAAGCGTCTGCCTTCGGCTCAGGTCATGATCCCAGGGTCCTGGGATCAAGCCATCGGGCTCCCTGCTCAGCGGGAGGCCTGCTTCTCCCTCTCCCACTCCCTCTGCTTGTGTTCCCTCTCTCTCTTACTGTGTCTGTCTCTGTCAAATAAATAAATAAAATCTTTAAAAAAAAAAAAAGAGTGTATGAGTCTGCAGTTTTTAGTATATTCACAAGATTGTGTGATCATCACCACCACCTAATTCCAGAACGTTTTCATCACCCCTGTAAGAAACTCTATCCCCATTAGTAGTCACGTCCCCTTCCCCCTTTTCTCAGCCTTTGGCAACCACTGTCTACCTTCTTTCCTTATAGATTTCCTTATTCTGGACAATTCATAGACATGGAATCATATGTGGCCTTTTAGGTCTGGCTTCCTTCATTTAGCATGTTTCCAAGGTTCCTCCATGTTGTGACACACCTCAGTACTTCACCCCTTTTTATAGCTGAACAAGAAATTTCATCCTATGGATGTACCACATTTTGCTTTTCGGTTTATCTGTCGATGGACATTTGGGTTTCCACTTTTTGGCTATCATGAATAATGCTGAATTCATGCATAAGTTTTCATGTGAACGTGCTTCAGTTCTCTCAGGCATATACCTACAGTGGATTGGCTGGGTCACATAGCAACTCTATGGTTAACTTTTTGAGAATCTTTTCTCACAGAAAATTATTTTTTATCTTGTTGTACTGTACGCCTCTCTGTAAGCCTCTACAAGTCCTTCTTTCTGGAACAAGGCGGAGTATAAATAAATAAATAAATCCCAAAACACTCCCAAGCCATCTGTTTAATAATCTGTGCTAGAATTTTGCCAGCATTCTATATTGAGCCATTTGGTCCGTTGTTTCCAGAAATACCTTCTGTGTCTTTGTGAAAATCAGAACATTCTCTCATCTCCAATGTCCTCATCGTTTATCCTGGTTGCTTTTCAGTCCTACCTGCAAGGTATTTCATGACTCGGGTGTCTAATTCCTTTGAATCTGGCCTCCAGCTCTCACGTGAAGGTGCATGAGCTCCCACCGCCTGCGTTCTTGTCTACCTTGTGATACAATTAAATGTTTATATCCAAGTACTTCCTGCACTCGGTTAGAACTAAGGTTGAACAGAGGAGCCCATGGTGAACAGCCCCACCTCATTCCTTCTCTCCCCTAGTCTCCCTCCTCAGAGGCAACCACTTCTACCTCTGTTATTCTGGGAGTGACTTCCATGTCTCTAAATAATACGCTTATGCTGCTGTTTCTGGATTTCTCCATTTTAGACATCCTCTATTGATTTAACTGGGGAGGATGGGGATTTCGTTCACATACATCATCCGTACAGCACTCTTCCCACTCTCCTCCCAACATGGTTAAGAGAGCTGTTTTTATTCAGTTCCTCTCAATAAAATGAAAATAAATCTGTTGATTATGTTTGCTGTTTCAGGTAACATATTTATATCTTTATTTCTCACCCTGTCAGCTCTTGCTAGTTTGGACGCACTATTTTGTAGGCTAAGCCTACCCTCACTCCTACCTTTCCCTTGGGCTCTCCTTCCCAACTTCTGTCTTCTGAACATTTCCTTGAAATGCTCAAGGTTGCTAACATTATGTTCTAGCTTTCTAACCATAATTAGGTCTTCATGCTTTGCCTATAGGTTGGTTCTAAAAGTTCAAGTTCAATAAATCATTTACATTTGTGACAATGTAAAAATTGTTTGTGGCTGAACCAGCGATGTCTTATAATTACCTTTCCTTTTATTTGTTTTAGTTTATCCTAGAGTTTGATTGACTCTCTTCTTCTCTTGACTTGACATTATCATTTCAAGTTTGTCTTCCAACTTTTCAGCCTATCGAGTATTTGGTTTATGAGGTCCCCCTTTTCCCTAAGGACCCCCCACACAGGGACCTCTCTCTTACGCTCTAATTTGGACAAGTTGCTTTGTTTGTTTGTCTATTTATTGATTTAGTAAGCTTTATGCCCAACATGGGGCTTGAACTCACAACCCTGAGATCAAGAATTGCATACTTTTCTGATGAGCCAGGCAGGTGCCCTTGAGTGAGGTGCTTTTCTGTCACATAGCTGTCCGCCTGGGACTTCTTCCTTTCACAGATGCCCTGGCCTGGTCCCACTGTTTTCCCCTTCCTTCCTCCTTCTCTCCCTCCCTCCCTCTCTTTTTCTTCTTTGTTTACACTATCATTTTCCCCACACCCCATCTTCAAGTAATTTCTTAAGAGGCGGCTTATGGTACCTGGATTTTCTGAGTCCCTCATTTCTGAAAGTGTCATGGCTCCGCCCTCACACTTGAATCGTAATTTGGATGGATATAGACGTCGCATTAAAAATTGCTTTTTTCGGGGCGCCTGGGCTGCTCAGTAGGTTAAGCGTCTGCCTTCGGCTCAGGTCATGATTCCAGAGTCCTGGGATGAAGCCCATCCGTGTGGGCCCCCTGCTCAGCAGGAAGCCTGCTTCTCTCTCTCCCTCTGCCTGCCCTTCCCCCTGCTCATGCTCTCTCGCTCTCTCAAATATGTAAAAAGTCTTTTTAAAAAAATAAAATAAAAATTGCTTTTTTCACGCAATGTCAAAGGCATTGTTCTAGCCTTAGCTAATGGGAATCCTGAGGCCAGTCTGATTCTTTTTTTTTTTTTCCTAAGATTTTATTTTATTTTATTCTTTTTTACATTTTTAAATTAACATATTATGTATTATTTGTTTCAGGGGCACAGGTCTATGATTCATCAGTTTTACACACTTCACAGCACTCACCATAGCACATACCCTCCCCAGTGTCCATCACCCAGCCACCCCATCCCTCCCAACCCCCTCCACTCCACTCCACTCCTCAGTTTGTTTCCTGAGATTGAGTCTCTTATGGTTTGTTTTAAGATTTTATTTTTAAGTAATCCGTACACCCAACATGGGGCTCGAACTCAGAACCCCAAGATCAAGAGTCGCATGCTCCACCTACTGAGCCAGCCAGGTGCCCCTGATTCTTATATTTTTAGAGGTAAATTTTTCCCCTCTAGGGATATCTCAGAATCTTGTGTTTACCATTGCTATGTTAAAAGTTCACCATGACAGTGCTTATGTGTGGGTCTCTCATTCACTTGTGATTCTTTTTTTTTTTTTTTAAAGATTTTATTTATTTATTTGACAGAGAGAGACACAGCGAGAGAGGGAACACAAGCAAGGGGAGTGGGAGAGGGAGAAGCAGGCTCCCCGCAGAGCAGGGAGCCCGACGCGGGACTCAATCCCAGGACCCTGGGATCATGACCTGAGCTGAAGGCAGTCGCTTAACCAACTGAGCCACCCAGGTGCCCTCATTCACTTGTGATTCTTGGTGTCCCCTTTGCATTTGAAAATTCTGCTCTTTGGCTTTGGGGAATTATTTTGTTTTCTTATTTGAGAATTTCTTCCATTACATTTTCTTTGTACTTTTTTTTCTGGATAGACTTTTATCATAATGATTCTCTAATTCTCTACCTTCCAACACCTTTTACTGAAATATTTATTTCTATAATCCTCTCTTTAATTTCTGGTTGCTCACACTATTTTCTTTCTTTCTTTCTTTTCTTTCTTTCTTTCTTTCTTTCTTTCTTTCTTTCTTTCTTTCTTTCTTTCTTTTTTTTAGAGAGAGAGAGAGCGTGGGGGGGAGGGGAGGAAGTGGAAGGGGCAGAAGGAGAGGGAGAGAGGGAATCTCAAGCAGACTCCACACCCAGCACAGAGCTGGATGCAGGGCTTGATCTCATGACCCTGAGATCGTGACCTGAGCCGAAATCAAGAGTCAGACACTTAACCAGCTGCACCATCCAGGCACCCCACTCACACTATTTTCTGGTTGTTTCTTTCATAGGATCCTGTCCTTGTCTGGGGATGCAACACCCCCTTAAATCACCCTGAAAATACTTACCCGTTATGGAAAGTTTTCTTGTATCTTCTGTGTCTGAAGTTACTTCTCTTTCTTGAGGAGCATTGTCCCTGCCCCTATGTACTTAGCTTTGTTTCCTTTTCACACCAGAAGCTTTTGTCAAATGTCTGACGGTCTTTGACTTTCCATATTTAAGAGTGAGGCTGGACTGGTCAGTTGGCAGATTTCATTTCCTTTGGGAAGGGAGCCTGGGTCACAAGGGGTGGGGGACTCCAAGTAACGGAGGTGGCAGCCGCTTCTTTGGGGTCGTTGAACCTTCTGATTGGGGATGGATCCCTGGCTGCCCCATGTGTTGCTTAGGGATCTGCTGTCCCTACGCTGTTGGCCAATCCTTCTCTTGTCAGCCACAGCACCACCTCCAGCCTCCTCTACGCGGTCCAACCCTGTGGTCTCTCTGAGGCCTGAGCCCCGCTGTGGTTCTGCTGGGATGATGTGGGGCCTTCCCAGCCGCCTCCCACTCTGTCCTCCCTCTTCATCGGGGACCACTCTTCTCCATGTCCACCGCTATCTACTCGCCGAAAATGTTCATCAGTGCTGGCCTCCCTCCTGTTCTCTTCCTCATTAGGAGAGTGTACTTTTCAGGCGCCTGGGTGGCTCAGTGGGTTAAGCGAC